TGATAATTTAACTTCTTTACCTATTCTTATTCCTTTTATTCCTTTCTCTTGTCTAATGGCTGTAGCTAATGATTCCAGAAGTATATTGAATAGGAGTGGTGATAGAGGACATCCTTGTCTTGTACTAGATCTAAGAGTAATAGATTTCAGTTTTTCACCATTTAGAATTATGTTAGCCGTTGGGTTTTCATAAATGGCTTTTACCAGGTTGAAGTAGAGGCCATCTATTACAATTTTCTTTTTTTTTTTTTTTTTTTTATTCCAATTTTCTGTAGGACTTTGAAGGTGAATGAGTGTTGGACTTTGTCAAAAGCCTTTTCTGAATCAATTGAGATAATCATGTGGTTTTTAGTTTTCGCTCTATTAATATAGTATATTACATTTGTAGGTTTTTGAATATTGAACCATCCTTGCATCCCTAGGATGAATCCTACCTGATCATGGTGTATGATCTTCTTGATGATTTTCTGTATTCTATTTGCTAGGATTTTTTTGAGGATTTTGGGATTTATGTTCATGAGGGAGTTTGGCCTGTAGTTCTCTTTCTTAGTTGTGTCTGATTTTCTTTAAACTGCCATAGTAAAATAGTGTTAGAATGAAAAACAGTGAAAAATGGGTAAAATATAGAGACGGGAACAAGCAGTTCTTTCCCTGCTTGGAACATTGCCTTGCACATAGGGAAATAGTTTCTCTATTGTTTACTTTTCATTTATTCTTTATTCTTTTTTCCTCTATCACTTATTTATTTATTTTTCTATATACATCCTTTCTTCCAGTTGGTATCATACTTTGTGTCGATAATGTTCCTGGATACATCATTTAATTTTACTAGTGGTTAATAATTTTCTTTTCTTTTCTTTTTTTTTTTTTCTGGAACCGGGGATTGAACTCAGGCCCTTGAGTTTGTCTGGGAAGCGCTTATTCCACTGAGCCGTCTCCCCGGGCCTACTAAGGGTTAATAATGTAGACATATTATTTCCACATTACCTCCAGCAGAGAAGTATAACTCCTAAGGTATCAGAATTACAAAGGAGTGCTCTGAAAGGATTGTTGTCCGAGCTTACCAGTTCCGAGCTTACTTATGAAGTCTTGATTGAGCACTTCTGTTTCAGTTCTGCTTCCTCATGAGCTGAAGGATGTGGGTATTAGGCCCATAAAATATTTAGCACAGTACCAAGTACAGAGTAAACCCCCCATAAATGTTTACCATCACTACAGCGTGGCTAACAGTACTAAAATAACAGTTTTCCATACAGTGTATCATTTGTGTTGGAGTTAGGATTTGAATCTGTGTTTCAGAGCTTTATGTTTATCTCTTTATCATCAGTGGATGAATTATGATGCCTCACTGCTTTGTGCGTAATTGCTTCTTTTATGTTGTAGAGAGTGGTGGCATGAAGCTCAGAAGGATCAGAAGATAAGACCCAATCCTTATGACACCAAAGTGAAGAAGAAACTGCGGAGGTTGCAGCTCACACCTGGCTTCCCGAACCCAGCGGTTGCGGAGGCCTACCTTCGGCCTGTGGTGGATGACTCCAAGGGGTCGTTTCTGTGGGGCAAACCCGACCTGGGCAAAATCAGAGAGTATCCTTGATTTCTGACAGTGTGAGGACCCTGAGGCAGGCAGCCATGCACTGGAAAACCGACAGAACATTTTCCCATAAATTCTTCTTTCCCTGTCTTTGGAGGGCAGCAGTGAGTGTCGTAGGTACGGCCACAATCCCGTACTGAAGTGCCGCTTATTCTGAAAGGAAATAGAAAGAACAATTAACGTGGGCCTTTTTAGCATTGTTTTCCAGTCTGTGCATGTATTTATTCATTTTTTATTAATTTTATTAAGAAAGATATAGCAATGAGACAGTTTCAAAACAGGTTAGTAGGACAGTTACAATAATACGTTACATATTGTCATTTCAGTTATTCAGAGTACAAGATGCAGACATGCTATCTTATATAAACTGTTTTAGTATAAATCTTTCTTATTGAACTAAGAGAAAATAGCTGTATATCCTATTGTGTGTGTGTGTGTGTGTGTGTGTGTGTGTTCCCCACTACAAAATGGTCTTTCATTTATAGCCCCTTTTCTGTTTAGTTTTGTTAGAGATGGGTGTTCCATTGCCATTCAAATATTGTAGGTACATGAATTCAGCAAAATAATTGAATATAGTCCAGTAGTCCGTAGTGGGTTATCCACAGGACTGGCAATGTCAGAAGTTGTTGACTTGAGCCTTTTACAGCTTAGTAGTCTGTGCATTTAAATAATTGTTTGGATAGTAGTTTAAAAAGTTGTAATAGAATTAATCTAACCGCAGCTTATTTTTTCCTGTCACAGAAATATGTATCTAAGACTTGTTTTCATTTTAGGTTGAGCTTTTTTCAGTCACTAGGTTTTCATGTCCTAAAGTGTTGAGTAATTTCATTAGAAGATTGAAAACAACATACTGCGAGATAATCACGTTGGAGTAAATTTTTTTTACTACTGTGTTTTGACACTTTAATCTTTACAAATATGGAAATCTTTGGAGATACAGGGCGTGGAATCGAGGGCGGGTTCTTTGGCCTGTTTTATTTATCACTTGTTTAAACCCGTCCAGAACATTTATAAGCCTTAACTGCCTGCATATTTTGTCAGCGGTATTTCGGCTGGAGCAGGACCAAGACTGACGAGTCGCTGCTTCCCGTGTTAAAGCAGCTGAGTGCCCAGCAGGTGACCGGGGTGGCATTTCCTAAGCTCAGGGAGGAGCACGCCTAGGAAGGCCAAGTGATTGACTGTTCAAGCCCAGTGAGCCGGTTTTCAGGCGTGTACATATGTTTTGAAGCGATGATAGTTGGGATGCAGATCAGAGGAGAATAGCCGTTATTTCTGGCCTCGCGCTTGGAGCTGCGTGCAGTGCCCTCTCAGTTCATCCTCTTGGTAGAACGCCAACCTAAGAATCCTCCCATAGGAAGGTGTTTCTGACTGCATGTGTGACCCCTTTGGAATCATTTTCATTTTCTTAAAACCCTAGGAGTTGCTGAAGTCTAATCAGTAAAGCTTCAAGTGCTAATAAATTTTAATTTATAATTTCTGGCTGGCCAGATAGCTCAGCAGACACAGGGACCAGGGTTTGATCTGAGTGGCATGCCGGCCCTGCCCCCAGGGCGCACTGAGACAGGGATTGACGCTGGGCGTGGTGGTGCGGGCCTGTAATCCCAGCGCTGGGACGGCTGAAAACAGGAGGATCACTATGAGTCCAATTTAGTAGTGAGACTCTGTGCCAAATAGTTTATAATTTGTAGTTGAAGCTTTCAAGTTCCCTTGGAGGGCGAGGGTTTTGAGAAGAGTGGCCCCTGTCGGGCGGTGCCTCCTCAGCGGCTCTTGCCTCGCTCTCTTCCTGCTCAGCTGAAACAAGCCTCGGCCCTCCCCCAGTTAGGGTCAGCCCACCAGCCGTGCGTGCAGAGAGGCCAGAGAGCAGGAGTGACCCCGCATCTGTTAAGACAAATTAGTGTGTATTAAGTTTGGTTAATTTTGAAGGAAAAAACCCATAAAACTGAGACAAGTGACGTTTCCAGGAATTTTCCCTTTATTGTGATTTTTATTTACTGGAAACAAACCAGCTGAGAGTGAGAGCTTCTTACTGCCTGCTTGCTCTTTCTTGCAGATAAATTTCATTGCAGTACTTTCCCCTTTGTATTACAGGACCAAAGGTAGACTTATTCTCCAAAATTAGAAAGTGAACAATAAATTAAACTACTTACATACTTCCTCTAACCCGGGTGTTAACAATCAGGCTTCTTTGTTCTCCCACGGTTCTTTGTTACCGCACATGAGTGCAGTTCTGTGTGGCTGATGCCCACTCCTCCTTGCCTGTTAGCTTGCATTTTTCCTGTGTATGCTATAGTTTTCATAATTTCACATGACTCCTTTACATTTTATTAAGGAGATTTAAAGCAGTTCAGTTTAATGAACCTTTATTCTTAGGCTTTGACAATGTGTAATGAATGTTAGGCCAAAAAATTTTATGCTGTGCTAGAGGTTGAACTCAGACCTGTGCTTACCAGGTAGGTACTTAAGCCACTGAGCTATCTTTCCAGTCTCAATTTTTTAAAGTATCTTCCCAGAAGTGGATTTGCTGAATAAAGGGCATGCATATTTCTTATGGTACCTGTATAATACCCTGAACTTGGCTGAGTACATCAAGTGATGTGTTTTAAGAAAGCAGAGAATGTGACTTAGACACAGACCCTATAAAATTTTATTGCTCCCAGAAAGATGACGTATTTGGTGGCCAAAAAATATTTAGCACTGTTTAAGTACGTTAAGAGGTTTCCTATTTGAGATGTGAACTAAGAACTTACTTGCTAGAGTTAGTGGAAATGTGTAACTCTGACTTCTAGATGACTGAAACTTGTCTTAATTCACTGGGAAAGAACTGGCTTTGGGGGCAGGCTGAGTTACTGTTCCTTACACTAGTGATCCAGTGCGGATGCTCGAGGCTGAGCTTGTTGATTGGTTTAGAAACTTTACTTACCTGACTTACCGTTTTGTTTTGTCCTAGACTCAGCTCCGAATTGATTCTTTCTTTAGAATAGCCCAACAGGAGAAGGAAGAGGCTAAGCACATTAAGAGCCAGAGACTCAGCAGAGCTGTGACATGCATGCTGAGGAAGGAGAGGGAAGAAGCAACCAGTGAGATAGAAGCAGCCTCTGTTGCCATGGAGAAAGAGTCTGAGATCTTTGTGGAGGTAAAAGAACAAACTCACAGAAGAAACCTCGCACAGAAATCAAAAGAGGCGTCAAGCGTGAAAAGAAAGCGGCTTTCAGAGAGTGAACGTGGCGGGTTTCTGGGGGAGATCTACCGCTCAGAATCATCGGATGCATCTTCTGGGGAAGATTCTGGAGGTTTACCTTCGGTGAACATACAGAGGGCAAAAGGAGCTAAAGACTCAAACATGAGCTCTTCAGCTGTGCGGGACACACTGCAGGAAGCTCCCGTGCGGGACAGGGATGGGACCACCAGCAGCTCTAGTGATGACGGGCGGGAGGAGGCCAGGGCTGCCCTGGTGACTGCCCGACCCGTGTTTGGGAAGAGAAAGAGGAAGCTGAGATGTACGAGAGGAAGAGGAAGGAAAACCTAATACAAAAATATGTATTCTCTGGTTATGTGGAACAACATTGTGTAATGAATTTTGCTATGAGAACATTATAAAATTAAATGTATTTGTATAGTCTTTGTACTTAGTGTGTGATTCTTTAAAAAACTGGATACTAAGCTTCCAGTTATGTTTCCCTGTTACATTTTTTTAGTAATTTCTACTTCACTGAGTATTGCCTTGCATTCACAGACTTTCTCCTCCTGGGTCTAGCTTGTGGTGTCTGATGCTTTTTGATCACATTTTACAAAAAGAATTTGTATCGATCAGCACTTACTCTCCACATGTCTCCATCTGACTCAGACCTAGACAAGAAGAGAGAGAGTCATATTTTTCATTCCATAATAATGGCAGTTCTAACAACAACTGAGTACATTCCTGTCCCCCACTGCTTGCCATTTTCACTCAGGCTGTATTTAAAAGGATAGCAGGAGGAAACCGCCCTGCTGGAACATACTAGAGGACTATGTTTGCTGTGGTTTTAGCAAGCAGTTAGGAACCATAAATGGGATACATCATACTACCTGTGAGCATTAGCTATACGGGCACCTGTGCAGCGTAGTGTTTGGCTTTTGAGTTGCTTCAGTTGTCAACACCTGACTTCCCTGTAAATGGATTTGGAGGTTCAGGCCTGTGTTCAAGCTGGTAGGTGTGCACCCACTTTAGCATGATTTGCAGCACTGCCTTACTATTTTTTTTAATATATTTGGTTCAGGGTCTCACTACGTAGATCGGACTCGCAGTGATTCTCCTGTTTTCAGCCTCCCAGGAGCTGGGATTATAGGTGTTAGCCTCCATTCCCAGTCTCAGTCATATCTCAGTGTACCCCAGGGGCGGGGCCCCTGTGTGCTGCCTGAGCAGGTGCTTTGTCTGGTGAGCTGTCTGGCCGGCCCTTGCCTTGTTACCACAGGTGTCCTGATTGCTCCTGCTGAGTTTTCCCAGGAGAACTCCCAATTTACTGTTTACTTAGAATTAAGAAATATCCAAGTGTGGTACTGCCCTTCAGCTTGAGTCTGGGTCCTCTGCCTTGAGAGTTACAGTAGCCTTCTGTCACTGACAAAATACCCAAGACGGTCCACTTCAAGGATTCTGGCTCATGGTTTCAGAGATTCCAACCCATGGTTGGCGAGTCCATTGCTATGGGATTGTGATGGGACATCGGTCAGGCTCCAGCTTCTTAGCCTGTGATTTGGCTGAGTGGGGTCTGGCCAATTCCTGAGAGAACTTCAAGGGATCTTTCAGTGCAAAGTGCTTGCATCTCAGTATCAAGGCAGGGGCTGTGGGGTGGGACAAAGCTGCTTGCTGCATGGGAGCCAGGAAGCAGAAGGCCAGAGAAGGGCTGGGGACATGTTACACTGTTGAAAAGGACACTTCCCACTGACCCACTTCATCTAGTCAGGCCCCACCTCCTAACGGGTCCATTGAGCCGGGCACTCAGCAGTTCATCCACTTGTTGAAGTTAGAGCCCCCGTAATCTGGGCATTTCTCAAAAGCCCATCAACCAGCAATGAAGACTATACAAAGCACAGTGAGCCTTTGGGGGCACATTCTGGATCCTGGTCATGATATTGTGTGCCTCATGAGACTCCATTTAGTCTGTCCTGTCAGTCACCAAAGGCTCAGCAGTTCCAGAGTTGTTCAGAAGTCTCATCTAAAGTCTGCTCTGAAGCTAAGGGAGCTCTTAGGAATGAGTCACTGTACAAATCAAAAAGACTCCCAGGACACAATGGGGCAGGGTGAATATTACCATCCTAAAAAGGAATAGGGGCATAACAGGAATTGGGCTGAAGCAAGACCAAAACCCAGTGAGAGAAGCATTAAAACCATAGCTCCATGTCTGGGATCTGGGGCGCATGATGGGGTGATGTGAGCTCCACAGCTTTTAGAGGGCCTGGTCCTTATGGCCTTGTTGGCGGTAGCCCACATGACCTCTCCTGGGCTGACTCTGCTTGCTGCAGCTTTCCGTGGCAGATAGCCCACGTTCTTGGTCTCTCCAACTTCCTGAGAACCTCATTGCAGTAAGGCCTTACTCTCATAGCTTCATGCACCACCTTCTTGGGGATTTCCTATAGTGCTCTGACTGAGCCTGTCATGCGTTGCTTGGTCTTCCAGACCTGCCTTTAAAACATGAGTGGAAAGCTCTATGGCCTTGTAATTCTTTCTGCACACCCACACAACCAACACCACATGGGTGTTTGCAAGGTCTGTTGTTAGTGGTACCAGTAGGTGAACCACTTGGATCGTGGTTGCTGTGGCCTCTGAGTGCTTGGGTAGCATTGCAGTACAGTGAGTCTTGGGGAAACGACTTTCTAATGGCCCTGTGGAAGAAGAGTGACCTGATGCTCTTTTCTCAAAGCAAAGTCTTTCAAATGAATTTGCACATACACATGTTTAGCCTGTGATGTGGTGGTGGTGGGGGTGGTATCTAGCTGGTTCCTGTGAGGCCTTCAAGGATTTTTGTCTCAGTGCAAAGAACCCTTTCCACCTCTGGTCTTTAACTTGTGATCCCCCAGCCTTGTTCTGTCAGGTGCTGAGATTGCAGGCATATACTACCACACTTGGCCAGTACTTGCCTTTTTAATGGTGTTAAACTCTTCAACAGTCACACCTTCCCCGGTTCCAACTTTACATATACTTATTTTCTTGACAGCCTGCAAATTTTTCAAATCTTTCTGCTCTGCTTTTCGCTCATGAGTCTCACTACCAGAAAATGGTCAAAATCAATCAGCAATATCTGTATCACAGAAATTTCCTCCACAAGATTAACTGTCCTGTTACCTTTTTTTTTTTTTGGTGGAATCAGGGATTGAACTCAGATCCTTGCGTTTGCCAGTCAAGTGCTTATCCTACTGAGCCATCTCCCTGGCCCCCATGTCCTATCATCTTTAAACTGAACCTGCCACCAAGACTCATGACATGGACAAGACATTGATCCAACAGTTGGGTCAGGCGGAGCTGGTGAAGCAGTTGCCACCTTGAGGTTATTCCGAGCTTCCAGTTCCGTTATTCCTTAGGTTTTATTTGAATTGCCTATCCTGGCTCCATAACTCAGCCTGTGGACAGGGGGAAGAATGAAAGTTCAGGTCAAGCAGAACATCTTACATCAAGGGGGAAGACTAGAAAAATCATTTTTCCATTTTTTGTTGACGTGAAATGAGCATACGGCTGTAGTTGTGCTCAGAAATAATTTGTACCTGGTTTGCCTAGGAAGAAGGGGAAATAGATTGGATCATGAGAAGCATGTGCTGTATCGTATTTATAGAACAGTTTGCTAGTACAGTACATTCTCTTTTTAAACCTGATGTCCAAAGAAAAATCTTTCTAAAGCTGTAGGAACAAGTTTAGAGACAGTCGCTTACTTTGCCAGATCTACCCACCTAGGAGAGCTTCCCAAGATGGCAGAGCAGGGCAGCCAGCACTCCAGCCACACAGAATTAAAAGAAGTGCAATGTATCTCTGCGGAGGTGAATGACCACGGGAGAATGCTGGAGTTCAGTAGTACACAGACTTGGAGAAACCCAGAGATACTGGATCATGCTTTGCCCAGCTTGCCTTTCTATTGGATGACAGTTGGCAGCAGCATTCATTGTACTTTTTTGACCATGTGGTTCCCTGATCAAAAATTTACAATTTCTGTCAAGGAGAACATTACAGGCATCCTTATCCACTTTATTTATTGGCTCTGGCACTGTCTGATTTCTGCCTCTTCTCCAAAGTCAAAGTGGCCACAAGAGTTAAACATTTTGTTTCCATTCAGAACATCAAGGTAGCCATGATAACACACCTAGGAACACAAAAAGACTTCCAGACTTTCTCCAGAAAGTGGCAAGAGAGACAGAATAAGTGTGTAAAAAACAAAAGGGTGTATTTTGAGGGGAAATAATACTAATATGTCTTTTACAACAATAAGTTATAAAAAATTATACATTATAGTTTGATCATACCTCATCTATAAAGAACTAAAAAATTTAACAAAGAATAATCCAATCAAAATGTACAACTGATCTAAACAGATACTTCTCCAAAGAAGTATACACAATAAATCTGTGAAAGTGCCCAGTGCTGTAGCCCCCAGGGAAATGCAAATTAAAAGTACCTTGCGAGTCCATCTCAATACAGCCAGCTAGAATGGCTGTTAAGCAAAACGTGGGGAAGACGTGGAGTATTTTTTTTTTTTTTTTTTTGTAGTATCAGGGATTGAACTCAGACCCCTGCATTTGCCAGGCAGGCTTTTATTTTACTGAGCTATCTCCTTGGCCCAAGATGTGGGCAAAAGGAAGCCATATATGCTACTGGTGGAAATATAAATTAGTAAAACTAATTTGGAAGGCAGTAACTTAAAAACTAAAAACTTAAAAGAGAACTACCAAATAATTAAGTCATCTTACTCTTGGCTGTTTATCTGTAGGGACTGAAGTCAGCATATGAGAGATATCTGTGTATCCCTGTTTATTGTGATGCTATTTATGGTAGCTAAGACAGTGAATCACCCCACGTTCCCTCCAACACATTATATATATATATATATATATATATATATAGCCATAAAGAAGAGCAAAAAGCAAGTTCAAGTGCCTTTAACTTTTTTAGATCATGATTATCTTTTCTCTAAAATTATCTTCTAACTCAGTCTTTTCATTACCTTATATTTGCCATTAAATCCATATGTTGAGTTATTTGCTTCATTTATTATTTTCAGCTCGATTTGGCTCTCACATACATTCTAGTCCTTTACTATAATTGTCTTTATATTTTAAAAATTATTTGTTTGTTTGTTGCAGGGTCTCACTATGCAGTTCATACTCACAGCAACCCTCCTGTCTCAGCCTCCCCAGCACTGGGATTACAGGCATGCCCCACCACACCCAGTTGTGGGGCCAGCACAGTATGTGGTACCAGAGATGAAACTTGGGTCCTTGTGCTTGCCAGGCAGGCACTTAGACCACTGAGGTATCTCCCCAGCCACCTTATTTTTGATTGTCTTAAAGACAGTTACTTTAGGCCTACACCAAATAACCTCAATATCTAGATTTCCTAGTATACCTGGTAAATTTGGACTTAATCCTGGCCATTATATACTCAAAATTGTAGCTGTTGTAGCTCTCTTATTCTAGAGGTTCCCAGAAGGTATTTTAACAGGCAACAGAGGAAGACAGCCTCAACCCAGTCAGGATTAAGTGGATTCAAATCTGGTGTGCAAGGTTTGTATGATTTCAGTTCCCATTTTCCCCCTGTTCCTAGAAGCCAGCTTTGCATGCACATCATCTGCTGGATTTCTCTCATCCTTTGAGATTTGCTCTGTCCTTTGCCTCCATGGTTTGTGAATTAGCCTTCTGTGATAGACAGCGTAATCAGCAAATGCTGGGCTTTAAGGTCAGCGCTGAGTGTCAGGTCCACTCTGTCCTCTCTTTCTGGGATCCTGGGTGCTCACTTCCTGCTTGCCTTTCCAGCCCCCCATTCTCCTTTCCTTTCCCTAGGTGGCTGAGTTTGCCTGAAACTCTGTGGTGTCCTTCCAGTTGTGCTCTGCAGCTTCTTGGCGTCTTTCTCTTTCCCTTCACAGCAGTCTCCAGTAATGCACGGAGTTCTGGACTTCCTTGATGGTTCTGTTGCTGTGTAGTAGAAGTGTGTGTGTGTGTGTGTGTGTGTGTGTGTGTGTACTTAAAAGCCTACTTTTCTGCTTTACAAAAGAAGCACAATTTGCTATAAGGTGCTTAGAGATGAAAGCAAGGTCTACATAATTTTCCACTGTTCAGTGTAACTGAAGTGATCATTGTCATGATATTTGTTAAGATGATTGATTTGGAGATTTTGCTTCTTAAGAAATCCAGCAGTGAAGATTGCGTTATATTTCGAACAACTCCTTGAAAAAGACATGATTTTTTATTCATCACACAATTTTTCATTCTTGTTTTTAAAAAGAGAAAATGTCCTTTGATCAAAATTAACTCCTTTGAATAATAGTTTGCATTACTTAGGATTTTGTACTTCATAGCATGTTTTAAGCCTACAATATTTATCCCATATATGCCATCATGTGCATTTTTTATCTTTGTTTTATAGACAAAGAAGTGAAGAAGCATACTAAGCAAATTTCATTATTGACAGGCCTAAGCTTAGGTTTCCTGACTTCTTGTACTGTCAAGTCCATTAACGTGATCTCAGTTCAACCCTGTATTTACATTCTGGTGTATAAAGTAGTTGTGGACTCACAGACCTCATGTAACTTTGCAGTCTTCCTGGAACTTTATAAGGAGGCTGTTTCCAGTGCCAAGGGCTCTCTGAGATGCCCCCCTCCACGCACGTGGGCGGATGGACGTGCCCGTCCCCCAGCCTGCCCATCAAGGGTGGGAAGAAGTCATGGTAATTTGATTCCTGGGTGCAGAGCACTGCTGCACCCACCCTTGAGAATCCTGGATGCTGAGAGCAGTGTTCACACCTAGACAGGTGACATTAAAGAGGACGTGGCTCCTGTTTCTTAGGACGTCACAGCCATGGAATCTTAGAATAGCTCTTGGCACTGAGGTGGAAAACTTGGATTGCTTCCTCCCAACAGTCTTCACTCACTTGCAGGAGTGCTTTATACTCTCCGATCAGCTCTAGCTTAGTTCATGAGACACTCGGGAACATTTTCCTGTTCTCGAGCCCCCCTCGTTGGGGCATTCCAACGTCACTGCTGCATAACCAGAAGCGCTGCAGCTGCAGCTGTCAGGATCTTAATCCCTTCTGCTTGAATTTCCTGCCAGGGTGTACAGTAGTCAGCTGTGTGCTTTGGTGCTCCCATTTCCGACACTACCAGAGGCCTCAGCAGCAAAACAAAAGTGGATGAAATAACTTTTAACCTTCTAGAACTCAGCTACCCTATTCGGTATGTCCAGATTTCTTTCTTTTCTTTTTTTCCCCCCTGTGGTACTAGGGATTGAACTCAGGACCTTGTGCATTCCAGTTAGGCACCTATGCCACTGAGTTGTTTCCACTGGCCCAGACTGAGCATTTACTCAATATTGGTTTTCAGAAATATAGGTATAACAAAGACTGCTTTCTTTAATGGAAGAGGTATTACACTGGGAGCAGTGTAATAGCAGTCTTACTATTATTTTAGCTGTGTGATGTTAGTGAGGCTATTGAACCTTTGGTTCTCCTTATTTGTGAACTGTACAAAAAATGATCTGGATTCTAAATTCCTGAGACATGCTGCAAAAAAAGTATTCTGGATGTGAAAAGTGTTTTGGAATTTATGGATGAAAGGAATGTTATATTAACTTATGGTATACAGTGGCTATTTGTTCTCTGACACCAAATTGAGGAGTACAGACACGAGTTTTGTTTTCCAAAGGTTGAATAACAGTTCATTTAAGCTAATTCTGTTGTCCTATTTGAATGGAATAAAGCAGTGGATTCAGTCTTAAATGTTTGCTGGGGTGGTGTGGCCCCCTTGAGGCAGAATCTACTACTCGAGAGACCATCTGGCAGTTGGGCTGTCTGACATCGCAGACTTGCCGAGGACACACTGATGAGGACAAGTGAACTCTGCATTCATTACTAGGAGGATTGATTTGAGATTAGTGTTACAGTTTTCACCACAATGAACAAAACCCATTTCTTTCTGGTGTTTCTTGACCACCTCTCAGATCTTGGAGCTGCTGTCACGCTAATCAGTATGACGAAGATGCTTCTCTCTATGCCAGCAGAGGCAGTCTCTGGTGAGCAGGGTGTCCTCCTCCTTGAGGAGCTTTTAAACTTTCCCACTCCGAAGCCATTTTTCCAGTCTTCATTTGTACTAGACGATATTTAGATGGTCTTTCTTAAGACATGCTCGATTAATATGCAATATCTTAAAATACTTTTCTTAGCTATGTCTGAAGTTTATAAATATAAATACACTTAATACATAGTTTGAATTGTTATTTGATATTTTGATGTATTATTTCCCTAGTTCTCAAGAAATGGTCAAAAAGAATCAAAATATAGCCGCTTAGTAGTTCACCACCTGATGGATCCAGAAGGTCAAGAAGGTAGGTGGTGTGTGTGTGTGTGTGTGTGTGTGTGTGTGCGCGTGTGTGTCTGATTCAACCACTTCTAGGATAAACAATACATAGACTGTAAAGGCTCACTTTTGCAGTGCTCATCAATGTGTAAATAAGCCAGAACATTGTTTCTCTGTTACCCAAACTTTGGGTCAGGACTTTCAGTAATTACATTTAATGTCTTGGCTTGTGTGTGTGCTCTAACTTCAACATCTCCACTAGCACTTCATGTCTACTACTATCACCAGTGGACCTGACGATGTGTTAGAGATGATTGTGATGGGCAATGAATTCAATCTATAGACTTACTAAGCATTTAGAGTTTTCCTTCGATTTTCAAAAATAGTTTTTGCGCAAGTACCCTACATGAAATACATGATTGTGACTTTGAAATTATTTTATTTCAGGTAACAAACTAGCCAAGAGATAAAAATATTTCCATGTAAAAATTCTGAATGAATTTTCTTTTCTTAGGCTGGAAAAGCATCTGCAAGATGTGCTCATAGTCCATTTTGCTATTCATTAATTAGTGACAAAGACATAATATAATTTGACCTCTAGATAGAAAGAGAATTTAAGTTTGAACTGTAATGCAAGTTCAAAATTAAAATTGACCCACCACTTTCACAGAGTCTTAAATGTGAAGTGTGATACTGCATGGGTTATGTAATATACCTGATTGTTTGAGATAAAAGTGCAGACCTGTATTTTTTGTTTTTTTCATTTTATGTATTTGGTCCAGGGTCTCACCATGCAGCTCAGAATCGTAGTGATCCTCCTGTTGTAAGCCTCCCCAGTGTTGGCATTACAGGTATGCGCCACCATGCCCAGACTCATTCACAGGCTCAACACACCCTGGGGGTGGGCCAGTGTGGCATGTGGGAGTGGGGATCGAACCCTGGTCCCTATGCTTGCCAAAGCAGGTGCTTAGTCTGCTGAGCTATCTCACAGCCCCAGACCTGCATTCTTGACATAGGCTAAAGAATTGCTGTGTCTCTGCAGAGCAATTTTCATACAAATCTAATTACTTTGGGCCTCTCTCTGTCTCTGTCTCTGTCTCTGTCTCTGTCTCTGTCTCTGTCTCTGTCTCTGTTCTCCCTCTCTCTTGCTTTCACTCCCTCCTCCCCCCTCTCTCTCCCTGTCTTTTCCCCTTTCCTCCTCTCTCTTGCTCTCTTTCTTATTTTTACACTCTGTACATTTCATAAGAACTGCAGCACTGCTTCTTCCTGTTTTGGCTACACCATGTGGCTTCTGCCTGGGTGAGCGCACTTTCAGGTAGAGCGAGCTGGGCGCATGCCTAGGCTTGGCAGCCTCCCTGGCTCACACACCAGGGGTTCTCCTGCAGCAACTTTTACAAACCTGAAGATGCAAGTTGTAATCACTTCGAGAATCTAGCCATTTAGGTAATTTGAACAAAGATGTAATTTCTGGGTGGTTTATGAATAAAATTACATCATTATCATTACCATTAGTAACAATTCTTGGTTTCTACTGTGTGCATGATAATTTGGCAAATTACAAAGAAAATGGAAGAAGTTCAAGGTAAGGTTGCGACAGAGCTAGTATTAAAATATTTTATAACATGAACAAACAGACCCCATAATCATCTACATAGCCAATTAAAGCTTTAAAATTATGTTCAAAAGCACAGCGCTAAAGGGATTAAGTGTGTGCTACAGGAACAGAGCCAGATGGCATTTCATTGGCAAGACTTCCTCCAAGAAGAGGAACACTCAGTTCTCAGGTCCTGGGTGATACGGATTTGTCTTGTCCTAACTCTCTTATACTTCACATCCTGTGTTTGGAAAAGCTGGAACCAGCCAGAGCTCAGTTCTCCTATTTCAGCACAGCAAGAAGATACAAATAACCATAACATGTCATTTATACATACACAGATTAAAAACTAGCATTAGGGTGAATACTAAAAAATTCTTTTCATGTTTCAGCTGCATTTCCAAGGCTGCATTCTGATCCGTTTTGTCGAAAGCTTTGTCCAAATTACCAATTTCAAGAGCGCTGTGTTTGCCTTTTCCACGCCAACAGCTCCACTTTGGCTGTGAGCACAGGCAGCCCGGGAGGATGGGGCCGTCATCTCCTGAGGGCCTGGGCTTGAGCAGATGCACCTCGACACGAGGCTCAGTTGTTCCTCTGCCCAGAGACGCCCAAGCCGGCTGTGCAAACTGCTTACTTGACATCCTGCCCGTTTCCCTGTGTCAATTTCGGCCCCTCCAGAACTGCCATAACTGAGATCAAGCATGCAAGGGGTTTATTTGGGGAAAGGTATGTGGAGAACAAGGAGGGAAGAACATCCAGCGGCTACACGGTCCTCAGTAGGCGGCAGGCAGGCCTCGCAGGAGGCCTGAGCAAGAACGGGCGCTAGAAGAGCTTGCCTGGTGGCAGGAGCTGGCCCCAGTCGGCGCCGGTGGGGAAGCGCGGTCCCTTGGAACCGAGATCACCGCAGCGGGCGGCGCTGTTGGGCATGGTGCGCTTGAGGCTGGGTCTCTGCAGCTGAGCGGCCACGTCCGCGACCAGCGCACGGCGCACAGATGAGCGCTTCCCTTGGTGGGCGTGCCCCTTGCCCTGTACTTTCTGTCTCCGCGTACCTAAGCTTCCCAGAAGGGCGGCTCGGCCCATTGTCTTCACACTTTCCATCATCACACCCTATTGGTTTCACCTCCCTAAAGTTTCTCTACCTTTCACTCCTTGTTTCCGGCTGCAGTTGCCTCCATTCTGGACTTTCCTATTTCTTCTCTCTAGTGTTGTTAATGGCCGTTAATTGCCTGCCTCGCTCTGGGCTAACCTCTTTTACCTTCTCTATTTCTCTATCCACAATGGAGCTTACATGACATTTTTAAAATTCAAATCTTGTCACACTTGTCTTTGCTTAAAATGCTTCCGTGCCTCATCAGTTCCTATAGGATAAAATCGAGACTTAATTGAATGGCATGGAGTATTTTATCTCTTGCTATTCCCCCCACGGATCTCACAGTTTAGTTCTCAGAGTTTCCCAAATTGGAAAATTGGTCGAGAGACTGCTGGCCAGGTGGCTCTTGACGCTTGCTGTGTCTGGCGTGGCATCCTTACCTCATTTGCCTGGCAAACGTAGAATCATGAGGCCCATAAAATGCTTTGTCTAGTCCTCTGAGATGTGTTTTTTTTTTAATTTTTTTATTTATTTGAGAGAGAGAGAGAGAGAGAGAGAGAGAGAGAGAGAGAGAGAGTGGTGTGTGTGTGTGGCCAGCTCAGCCCACCAGGGGGCGGCCCTGGCTGGCATGTGGTGCTGGGGGATTGAACCGCGGTCCCTGATGCTTTGCTAAGCTTGTTCTAAGTAGGTGCTTTAGACCACTGAGCCATCTCTCCAGCCCCGAGATGTGAGATTTTGCATTTTTGAAGTGTCTCGTTAAGCCACTGTTACCGCGCTCATATGTTGGTTTGTCTACCTGGTCTAGCACCTAGATGTTCAATAAATGAGCAAATGGATACAGTTATCTGAGGACTGTGGGCTGGCTTTAACAGCTCATCATGAGGGTCTTGTATGGGCAGACACCAAGGCCAGGAATCTAGATATGCACATTGCTAGAGGAATGCCATTGCCTTTATGTTCTTTCAATGGATAGAGCTAGAGGGGATAGACACACACATATATTTTAATTCACGAGTCTATATTGATACTTCTGATCTTAATTTACAGTTTATAATTACAAGTCTTTTTCCAGCGGATGTTTTAGATTAAGAATTAAGAGCTGTGGGTAATAAGTTAGATGTGAAAGACATGGAAAGAAAAAAAATCAAGAGTGACTTTGAGGACTGGGGAGATAGCTCAGCAGTCTAAACATCTTGCAAGTGCAAGGACCCTAGTTTGATGCCTGGTACCACATGCTATGCCAGCCTCAAAACTGGGCATAGTGGCATGGTTATAATCCCAGCACTGGGGAGGCTGAGACAGGAGGATCACTATAAGTCAAGCTGTGTATTAAGACCCTGCATCCAATAAATAAATGAAAAAAAAATGAGGGTCTTGTATTTCTGGCCAGCAGCCAGTTGACTACCTTTAGGACCTTGTGTTAAGCTCTACTCAGAGTATCATAAAATCTCTGGAGAAGATTCTTATAACTCTTTATAGAAGTGGATTAATGAGCAATGTGGCTTATATGAATAATATTGTCTTAATGTATGAAGATGAGTTTATTAAAATAATCTTACCTTTAGTTGGAAAACCTATGAAACTGCCACCTGAGGCAATATTATCCCTTGAACTAGTTGGGGGACTATGTAACACCTACACTTACTAGTGTGAGGATCACTCATTAACACATTTTAAGTGTTTAAAAGTGAAAAAATAGGGCTGGGGAGATGGCTCAGTACAATAAGCGCTTGCCTGGCAAGCACAAGGGCCTGAGTTCAACCTCTGGTTCCACCAAAAAAAAAAAAAAAAAAAAAAGCATATCTACTAAATAAGGCTGATATTGCACATATTGAATAAAAATGACTCTTGAATGTACCAATTTACTTCATATCTCTTCAAAACTCAGACCCAAGTGTCAGGTGTGAATGGCATTTGCTATCCCCATGTGTAGGAGAAGCTACAACAAGCCCACACAGATTTCTACTTCACCCTTCACTCCCTGCTGTGGCATCCACTCTGACCCTTGCTGTCTTTTGTCTAGAATTCCAACAGCCTCCCAAGTAGCTTCTAACATTGCTGTCTTTCAGGTATTGTGACAACGTGTATTTCTTAAGTATCACACCTATACGTGTCCGGCCCTCACCCAGACATCTTCCTGTTTTCTTCTTACCTTATAGAGGTCCCATGTCAACCTCCTTCTTCAGGAATATTTTCTGCAGTGATCCAACTTGCACCTTGAGCTTCTCACAGCTCCCCGAGGACATATGAGTCCTCTAAGATTCACTTCCCAATTATATGAATTGGTGTTGCTTCTGTAGCATCTTAAAGATGTCTCTTCTTAACACTTACTAAATGTCATTGA